GATGTCGTATAATTAGCCTAATTAGCATATACACTGTATGTACCATATGTAATAATGTTGCTAATCTTAATACAGGAAGACTGAAAACATGGATAATATGACTTTTCCGGGTTTTTCCATGACGAGGGATTCAGTTATGACACCAGTTGTTATTTTTAAGTAATGCAATCGGCTTAATATGTAATTATTGTACTAATGCCTAATTAGCATATAATGTAGAATATAAATTATTTGGGACTCTACTTAGCTTCACAAATTGTATGTCCAATGTGGTGGTTATCTTGGTCTTAAGGCAATGTTGTTGAACCTCATGAAATGTCTAGGAAATGACGGGGTCATCATACGCATTGATGGTTGGGCTTAAGTCATTGGATTTAGAGAGACTGTCGAAAACACACTGAAGATGGTTAAAGCAGATGATAAATGATGAAATTGATGATGTGGTGAGACAGGTACTATATAGGCCAGGGATGTTGAATACAACAGTGCGAACTATGATCTGTCTATGTTTACCAAAGCCAGAACCATTGAGAGGACAAGCCCGACGTTGCTCAAGCTGGTGGCAGAATTCCCGGAAAAGTCATATTATCCATGTGTACAGACTTCCTGGATTGAGATTTATTTAGCAACATTATTACATATTGCGCAGATTTGCTAATTGGGCTAATTATACTACATCTATACATGAAATATCTTCTCATGAATTAATAATTAGTCTTTCAAAAGTGATTAACAATGTTGCATTGCACCATTTTTAGGTTTTATAGATAAACAATGACAATGGAGTCCATATATTGTACATAATATGCTAATTATGACATTTAAGACTATTTACATAAAAATAAAAATTGGTGTCATAAATGAATTCCTTGTCATCATAGAGAACTCTTGAAAATTCGTATTATCCATGTTTTCAGGCTTCCTGGATTGAGATTAGCAACATTATTACATATTGTACATATGCTAATTAGATGATTATGCTAATTATGGCTATTAAAAAAGTTGCCCAAGGTTGCCAAGCTGGCAACCAAGCTGAAATTACTTCAATACCCATCTAGAACACAAATCAACAAAAAAACTTGTACTTAACAACTTTTCCAGGTCTGAAAAACTTCTACATGACTATTTAGGCTTCCTAGATTTAGGTTGATAATTGATGTTCTACAAAATATGCCAATTAGGCTTATTATATAGTACAATAATTACATATTACATCAATTGCATTACTTAAAAATAAAAACTAGTGTCATAAATGAATCCCTCGTCATGAAATACCCTGGACAAGTCACAGTAATCATGTTTTCAGGCTTTTTAAAATTAAGATTAGCATTATTATAACATATTGCAGATAACAATTAGATTATTAGGCTAATTAGGCTAATTATACTATATCTACATGAAATATCTTCTCATAAATTAATGTGTCGTCTTCCAAAAGTGATTTACAATGTTGCATTGCACCATTTTCAGGGTTTATAGATAAACAATGACAATGAAGTCCATATTTTGAACATATCCTAATTAGCTCATTATGCTAATTATGCTTTTTAAGACAATTGCATTACTTAAAAATAAAAACTGGTGTCATAAATGACTTCCTCGTCATAGAAAACCCTTGAAAAGGGTGTTTTCAGGCTTCCTGGATTGAGATTAGCAACATGATTACATATTACACATATGATAATTAGATGATTATGCTAATTAGACTATAAAAAAGTTGCTCAAGGTTGCCAAGCTGGCAACCAAGCTGAATTTACTTCAATACCCAACTAGAACACGAATCAACAAAAAAACCTTGTACTTATCAACTTTTCCAGGACATGTACATGGTCTATGGTACCGTCTACTGGACTAATAAGTTATCTCTGAAAATAAACAAAACTCAATTTATGCACTTTAACCACCCCAATGCACACCAAGCTGCATACATGACAATTATTGATTGATGATAACTTGCCTTTAGAACAAAGGCGTTGCTTTATAGGTTTATCGGAGTGATTATTGATGAATGTCTAACATGGAATTATCATTCAGATTATATTAACACATCTATGTCTAAAGGTGTAGGAATTATTTGTAATATGAAACAATTTTCAACTCAAAGGTTTTGTTTTCATTATATAATACAACAATAATTCCATATATAGTACTTATTGTAATTGTTTGAGAAAGTTGTACGAAGTCAAAACTAGTGCAAAAAACGGCTATTCGTATTCGTACCGGATCATCATTTCTTGCAAACTCAGAACCCTTATTTCAGAAGCTGAAAACATTGCCAGTTTTGTTTATATCAATACTTTGCCGGTTGCAGTCTTTATGTTCATATATACTCCAATAACATACTTAGTCCGGCATTCCATAACCTGTTTGGGATAAACAACACAATCCATTCTTATCCGACACGAAATTCTCAGAAATTTCTAACGGTGCATAAATCTATCTGACACCGTGGCATTGACCTATGGAATAGTCTCCCAACTACAGTTGATAAATCATGTACTACAATATATTCTTTCAAGGCTGCCATGAAGCGAAAGTTATTTCATACAAATCATAATTGAATAAGCGCTCCAAACACAAGCACTCGCAAACATATTAGCCCATGCACATACTTATAAAAGAACATAAATAACACGTTCCACAAAAGACATACATTTACGTAATTATACATTCACACTTGACGCATTTTATTTCATGCCACTAAAATGATTCTTCCATATGTGGCTGTTATAGTTAATTTATTTCCTTGTGTATGCGTTATAAGTTTGGTCGCCCGTAAAGGTTTTTTTTCCTGAGGCCGCCCTCACGCTGGTGGTCTCCTGCATTTTCCAACTTCGTAATTATGTGTCGAGTACGTGTTGTTTTCTTAAGGTATAATTATTTCCTCATGGATTGATTGAGAATGCAAATAACATGGCAATTAATGTTTGTTCCAAGGAACACTTGAGAAATTTTCTGGCAATCATTAACATATATTCTACTTTTAAAGTAGAATATAGGCTATGTTAATGATTGCTCTATTCAGCATTGTATATGGCTTATGACTTTGTTTTATTTTTGTTTAGGACCATGCAAATGCAGGGTAGTACTAGTAGCTAGTCATCCTCAATGCTGTGTTATTTTTCTTTAATCGCTCCAGATATAGATTTTGTATTCCTAAACTGTCGTCTCTTGTGTTGATTTTGTAACATATCTATTCATAAAATCACCAGACTACAGATTCTCCCTTTATTACAACCTCCTCGTAGTGTCAAATAGGAGGTCCCAGTCAATTGGTATAGCAATATAACTGTTGGATATTTTCATGTCAATTATCTTAAGGAATCATCAATTTCATTCTCCTTTCCTGTATCTATTTTTAGATACAACTATACCACTCCCTCCCGGGAAGGCGTACCATTATTATTAACATTATCATTATTCTTATTCTTATTCTTCGTTGAAAGGGTTCGAGCTAATTGACGACAAAATAGTGCATCCGGAGTCAGAAGTTCTGAAGTTGAGTCTTTACTTTATTGTTTTCTCATCGTTAAACAGCCTCTGTAACATTAATAACCAAAGTTGAACAGAATATTCAAATCGTGGCAAACTTACATAAATGAAACGATAATATTGATGCCAACGGAACAAATATTTATTCATAGAAAGATTAAACGAGAACTTACCGTTTGAAGTTGATCTTTATTTTACAAGAGAGACGTTGGAAGAAATTACAGGAGAACCCGCCTCGCGCATGCGCAGTCATACGTTGAAGCATTAATGTGGCTACTGAAAAGACAGAAAGATGATGAGAACTTATACTGTTTTCACACTGGCAATATTTTGCTTAACCCCGTCAGGCGCGTACACAGGGGGGGGGGGGGGGTTGGGGTTACCCCCCTTGAGTTTTTTTAATGTTTATGTTGTGTGTATTGTTTTTTGAAAACCCCCCCCCCCCCCTTTTAATTTTTTTATTTTTTATTTTTTATAAAAAAATTTAAAAAAAAAAAAAAAAAATATGCCAATGGCTGACCTAAAAAAGGTGACCTTACCCCCCCCCCCCCAACGGAACAAAATGTCACATTTTCAAATTTCGAGACCCCCCCTCCCCCCCCCCCAAAAAAAAGTGTCCTCTCCCCCCACATTTTGCTCCGTTGGGGGGGGGGGGTAAGGTCAGTTTTTTTAGGTCAACCATGGGAATTTTTTTTTTTTTTTTTTTTTTTTTTTTAATAATTTTTTTTGGGGGGTCCAAGCTATCAGAAATTGATGGTGTTCAAATTTTCCCGAAGACACAAAATTTCCCTTTGCGTTTTATATAAGCCATTTTGGCGCCCAATATGGACCCCCAGGAAAATAAGGAGGGGTCTGAAAATTTGAACCCCATCATTTTTTGGCCAATTGGGACCCTTTTGAAGCCAAAACAGCAACAACAACAACAAATCAACTTTTGCAAAAAAATCCTACGGGATTACATACCATACCGCACTATCTATAGTCCCTTTCTTTTAAACCTTGTAAAGTTAGTTTAATTGTTAAGAGTTACTGTAAGCGTGTGAAGCCTTGCATGTCGGCTCAAGATTCCGCCGATATATATTGCTATCATATTATTATCGTTACATCTTCATAATAGTTACTTATTGATTGGATGAGTGATATTTTGTAGCTTGACCTACCTTTATGGTTAAGTTTTAATAAATCCCTTTTTTCAGATCTTTCACTCAAACTACTGTCTGGATATATCCTTTTTTGGTTTTTCTTGTTTCTTAATTAAAATCTCCTGTATACAATAAACCCCGAACTGGGTGCAGGTAAACAAGGATTTACCTGTGACATGTTATTTTTATTATGATGATGATGAATGAAGATGTGATGATGATGATGATGATGATGATGATGATGATGATGATGATGATTATTAGTATTATTATTATTTTAGTTATTATTATCATTATCCTTATTATGTTATAGATGGCACAAAGTAGTCGAAACATCCTGAAACTCTTGGTCTTGCTCTCTCCAATCACTCTCTTGATATTCAATTTGTGGTGGAACCATGACGTTGTATATATGAATCTTCTTGCTGCAGTAAAACCTCTATCGAATCAAAAGGTAAGAATGCTAGGGTACGGTCTGTGTCATGCTTCAACTAAACAATTTTTAAACGGACCAGTTGGTAGTTTGCACAGGGTACACAAATAAAAGTGGGTTCTTCAATAGACACTCCTGGCGCTCCATAATTACCCCTGCTTTAGCATGACTGCCGTTAGCATTTCAAGGAATTAATTCCTGCCAGGTTTACCCATTTACTTCTTTTGGGTCGAGTGCGTCAAATTTAGATTAATGCCTTGCCAAAGGACATTAGTGCCATATTTAAAATTGATTTATTACCATTAATATCACCAGCACTATACTTTAGGACTATCACCTGTAATTATGGTGATTTTAGAATTTTTGAGAGTTTTGTCTCACTTCTCCGTGACCTGGCGTCCTCAATTTACCTTAGTATGTGGAACTTCTCCACGTTCAAGACCTAAGTCTAAGTGATTAATACAAACAAACAAAAAAGATACGGAGGGTGTCTTATTTTTCATTATTATATCATTTAGAAATGGAGAGGGTACAATCAGAGGCGGCGGAGTGACTTCTAAAGTGGGGGGGGGGGCACTAACAAAATAGGGCACATTCTGGAGAAAGAATAGGTTTATACTTTGTTTTAACTGAGAACACATTGCACTTGTTTCAGTGAGAAAAAAAAACAAATTTGTCGATCGGATATTTCCTTTAGAAAGTGATATAATAATTCACGTTGAACTACATTTTGCAGTCTTGAAATGGGATTCCCCCTGCCTCCCCCCCCCCCAAAAAAAAAGAAGAAAATTTCATATTTTTGTGTCTAAGTTTTCCAAAAAGTGGCCATTATAACAATACTTTTTTTCCGATGGCTATGAGACAGTATTCCCGGACTATACACCTAATAAAATTGTGTCCTTGATATGATAGTGATTTGAACTTATGTTCCGTTTAATATACAAAAAATAATCAACAACAAAAATGCATACCGAAAACGTAGGTACAAGGAACGGATGAGAAAGTCTGTTCAGTCATGCCATTACGGCGCAAATGTTCTATCGAGGGGTCCAATGATTATATGGCAAATAAAAGTAAAAATTGGTCAAACAAATATACTGAATTTTAAAAAATTTCATTTTACATTCACTTTTCATATCATAACCCGCACCCGGACCCCTTCCCCCGCCGCCCCCCCCCCCCACTCCCTAAGGAAAAAAATACAATAAATGTGTCTAAATTTGGCTAAAGGTGACCATTATTATAACAACCAAAAATAAAAATCCGTTTGACAGTATTCGTAGACTAAACACATAAATAAAACGGTGTCCTAAATTATGATGATGAATTATAATGTTCCGTTATAAAAAATAAAAAAAAACATATAAATTAATGTAATAAATAATAAATAAAAACGTGGGTAAATACTAAAACGTACGGATGTGTATGTCTGCCCAGTTTTGCCAATTATAGCGCAACTATTCTACCGAGGGGTCTAAAAGAATATTATAAAATATAATATGATTATATGGCAAATAAAGGTAAAACTTGGGCAGGCAAAAATACAGAATTTGAACAATTTTCATTTTACAGCTAGCATTACAAGAAATGATAAATTATTTTTTCATATCCTACCCCCCCCCCCCCCCCAACCCTTCACCCGGCCCATCCCCCGCCGAAAGAAAGTTAAAATTATATGTGTCTAATTTTTTGCCAAAAGTGACCATTATGACAAATTCGTAGACTAGACATAATAAAACGGCGTCCTTTATGATAATGATTCGAATATAATGCTCAGTGATAACAACAATCAACAACAAATAAATAAATGTAATAACATTAATGAAAACGTTGGTGAAAACTAAATGGGACCGATAGATGGGGCTTCCAAGTTGTGCTATTACAGCGCAACTGTTCTACCAAGAGTCCAAATTATATTTGGATGATATAATATAATAATATTATGATATTATAATAATATATGATCGAATATAATATAATGATGGGGTAAATAAAGGTAAACCTGCATGGACAAGCAAAATTACTGATTTTGTTTTCTTCTTCTTCATTTTACATCTATAGCATTACAAGAAATGATACATTCATTTTTTTCATATCCAATCCCATCCCCCCTCCCCCATTTTTTCTTTATGACTTCTTCTTTTTTTTTGGGGGGGGGGGGGAAGTGACTATTATAACAAACTTGTTTTTCCGAATTATCTGACAGTATTATTTAGACATGACACACACAAAAAACGATGTCCTTTATGATGATGATTTGAATATAATGTTCCTTTATCAAAACAATCAGCATATATAAAAAAAAATCCATAAGATAAATGAATACGTGGGTAAATGGTACGGATTGAAAGGTCTGCCCAGTTGTGCCATTTATAGAGCGCAACTGTTCTACTGAGGGTCCAAATTATAACGTTTGATATCATGGGTGTCGATACTTACGTAATACCTATTCATCAGGGGGGATGAATGAATAGATCACCCCCCCCCCCCCCCATGATGAATAGGTATCAGTTACAGATCGACACCCATGTTTGATATAATAACAATCTATGATATGATGATATGGCAAATAAAGATCAACCTCGAGCAGTATTCTTAGACATGACACACACAAGTCAAACGGTGTCCTAAATAATTTATAGAGCGCAACTGTTCTACCATGGAGTTACTAATCTATGATATGAGGATATGGCAAATAAAGATCAACCTCGAGCAGTATTCTTAGACATGACACACACAAGTAAAACGGTGTCCTTAATAATTTATGACAGTGACTTTTTTACTAAAAGAAATCAGATCCAAGGGGAAGTGATATAGGAAGCAGCAACTTTGAAACCCGGACACAGCGATTAGTTATAAACCCGTAATTATGTACTGGCATGGTTTCCCCGTCTTTTCGTGGCCCCTCGACCCTAGTAATAATAATAATAATAATAATAATAGTGTAAACTTATAGAGCGCACACACCGTCCAGGGACGCTCATGGCGCTAGCTCAGCAACAGTTCTCTTTGATACAAGTAAAGTAAATAATTTTGCAATATTTTTTGCAATACTTTGTTATAACCCATTTCAATCCTCAGCTCTGCGAAGTGATGAGGGAAGCTTATTCCATAATTTGGCTGCTGCATGCGAAAAAGCATGGTCTCCCCATGAATGACGGGTACGGGGAATTTGCAGCAAATTATCACTTCCAGATCTTAAGGTACGAGTTGGATTGTAGGAGTGTAGTGAGTCTTTAATGTATTGTGGCGAGATTCCACGGAGAGCCTGATAAACAAGTAACATATCTTTGAAGTGGACTCTCTTTACTTCTGGACAGGTAGCCAGTGAAGAGAGCGTAATATAGGCGTAATAGAAGACATTCTTGGTGTGCAAGTAAGGAGTCTTGCACTGGAATTTTGGAGGGATTGCAGTCTGTCTTGCTGCTGTTTTGTGAGTCCAAATAAAATAGAATTACGAAAATCTAAGCGGGATGAGATTAATGCATGGATTAATTGTTCACATGCTTTTTGAGTCAGAGATTTTCGTATGAACCCAAGGTTAGTATTGAGCAAACAAGGCATTACGTCAGAATATAATTAGCGGGAAGTTTTGACCCTTACACTAGCTACACGTGAATCTGGACTGTGTATCGTTAACAGGCAAGCCTGATGACAAAACCTATAGTTTAAACACGAAAATCATACTACTGAATGACACAAGCTCATCTAAAGGCAACAATTTCATCTCAAGGAATAATGGCTTACTAGGCTGTCTGAAGTTAGAATTGGTAACAAGCCGAATAACTTTCTTTTGCAATATTTTAAGTTTATCAATATAAGTCTTGAAAGTGTTACCCCATGCAACATTGCAATACGTAAGGTAAGGGAGAACAACACTGTTATATAAAATTAACAAAACATTCTTAGGTAGGATAAATCTTAACCTACATATGACACCAACACTTAGCATCCAAATGGGGAGTCCAAGACAAGTACTCATCTATAAAAACACCTATGAATTTAACATGCTCACTTCGCGCTACTCTATGACCTCCTACCTCCAGAAGATCAACATTGTTTGGAATTCGTTTACCCCTGGATCTGAAAATAACACAGTTTGTCTTTTGAATATTTAGCAACAACTTATTGCAGCAAAACCATGCAAACAATTTTTTAATATCATCATTTGCAATTGCCATTAAAGTAACAATATTTTTATGGGATAAAATCAAACTAGTATCATCTGCAAATAGTGAGTATGTAAATAAAATTGACGAATTGATAACATGGTTGATATAAATTAAAAATAGCAGAGGACCAAGCATTGATCCTTGTGGTACACCATACTGCATGACAGTAGTCTGGGATTTGACACCATTGACCACAACATATTGAGTTCGATGACATAGGTAATTTTTAAACCAAGTTAATGCTATTCCACGTACACCATAGTGCTCAAGCTTTCTTAGTAGGATAGAGTGGTTAATGGTGTCAAATGCCTTTGACAAGTCAAGGACAATTCCTAAGCAATATTTACCATCATCAAATGATGTTGATAATTAAAACAAATGAGTGTAATATAAGTCTATGCGTTGATTTATTGAAACACGAGAGAATGAACTCCTCTTCAAAATAAAAGGATGATACGATTCACAAATAAGTTTTGAGATGGAAGAGCAGTGTTAAAAAAAGGAGGCAATTCAATTATTTTTCCGATCATCACCCTCCCCCCCCCCCCCAACTACCCACTCTCTCTCTCTCTCTCTCTCTCTCTCTTTCTTTCTCTTTCTCCCCCACATCGTTTTGAGCGTAAGTTTGTTTCAATAAGCCATAACGTCCTAAGCAATAATGAATACTAGTTCACTGCATGTGCAATTTACGGTAGCTGAAAAAATGTAAGTAGTCACAACAAATTATTGTGATGCGGAAGTTTTAAGTAGAGCGTTTTCTGTGTGTGAGTTGGCTTTTCGGCGTGAATGAATCGCCAACACAGTTCTGTGATCGCCAACCGAGAGGACTATATCGAGTTGCTGCCGAAAGAGGGAGCTAAACAGACATATTCGTAATTTTAAATTCGGTTTGTATACCAACCCCGACCGTTGAATAAATCGATGCTTATTTTGCTTTTTTCTCTGCAATTACACAATTTCATTCAAATTCCTTTAGCAAGAGTCATTTATTTGTATTGCTTAACAATTGGTGTGAATTTGAATAGAAACTGTTTTAATGTTGTTTTTTTTTCACCATTACCAGAACTAGAGCTTATCTTTAATTTGCGAGCGAGCGCAATTTTTAAGATTTGTGAGGTCGCAGTGCGAAACATTACATCTTATAAAGAAGAAAAAGCCAATCCCGAGCGAGCGAAAAAGGGGCACATTTCATTGTTAAAAGGGCAATTATCAGAGGTGAAAACGGGCACTTATCGCATCTGAAAAAGGGCACTGACCATACATGAAAAGAGGCAGTTATGAAAATGCAAAAGGGGCACTAATGATAAAGGGAAATGTGCATCTGTTTAAAGGAAAGGGGTACCGATCAGATTTTAATAGGGGCATTTATCGGAGGTGAAAGGGGGCTTTTATGAAAAGGGGGAAGTCGCTCTTATTAAAAAGAAACACATGTTAAAATAAACGGGGCACTTATCAATATGAAAAGGGGTAATTACGAGAAGGGGAGGGGCACTTATTAAAAGGAAAAGGAGCATTTCTTAGGAAGGAAAAGGGGGACGTGTCAAAAATAAAAGGAGCATTTATAAGAGATGAAAAGAGAACTTATCAGGAGGAGAAGGGCACTTGTCAAAGTAAAACGAGTATCTCTCATAATTGAATAGGGTCATTTACAGATGAAAGGGGCACTTATGAGAATGAAAAGGAACTATTTTCATAGATAAAAAGAAGCATTTATGAGAAGGGAAATGGGCTCTTTTTAGATGGGGGGGGGGGGGCTCTTATCATAAGGAAAAGGGGCCCTTTATTCAAAAGGAAAGGGGGCACATGTAAAAGTATAAGGTGCGCTTATCCGAGTAAAAAAGGGGTAGTTATTAAAAGGGGAAGGGGCACTTTTTACAAAGGAAAAGGGGGAACTTTTCAAATCAAAAGGGGAACCTCTCAGATTTGAATCAAGGGCAATTATCAGAGGTGATGGGGGCACTTATCAAAAATTACTAGAGATTAAAAAAGGCACTTATGAGAATGGAAAATGGACAATTTTTGCAAAGGAAAAGTGGTACGTGTCAAAATAAAAGGTGCACTTATAAGAGGTGGAAAGGGGAAGGGGCACTTTTACAAATTAATATGGGCGCTTTTCAAAGTAAAAGGGGGCACTTTTCCTATGTAAAAAGGGAACCTTTTGGGGAACTTGAAAAAGTGGGGGCACTATGCTCCCCCCCCCCCCCCCGGAGCACCGCCTCTGGGTACAATAAATGTGTAACTTTCTAGTCATGATTCGTTTCCCATTTTACCCTGTTGTTCCCCATGATGAATTTACACATGATTTTTTTTTTTTATAGGGGATGAAATCGTGCAACCTGTATAACACATCACCTGCTGAACCTGAAACTTCGCATAATCATCCTTTTTGTGCGAATCGGAAACTGAGAAATTTTCCCCATTTCTCGTATCCCCCCGCTACACCAAGGCAATGGATTACACATATGGACACGACAAACAGTACCTTTAGCCGATTCACCATCGTCAATGACAAGGAATCTTATTCCGTATGCGACCAACTCGAACTCTTAATCGAAGCACGGAACGGCTACGATGAGCCCAAGACGTACGGTGGAGATTTATTTCGCAGCAAGATCTTCACTCAAAACGGGTCCTTTATTGCAGGCTCGGGGACAGATGGTGAAGTCCTTGACCTTGGCAATGGGAGTTATAGCGCCTTCTTCACTCTAAAGTGGGCCGGGACTATCCGTATCAATGTCACTTTAGTTGTCCCGAGTGAAGCTGTTTTCGAACTACAAAACCTGAAGGAAACATTGCAGCCTCGTGAGAATTATCTGGGGAAATTCAGCAAGAAGATAGGTGGAAAAGATGTAGCAGAAGAAGTGAGATGTGGCCACGTGCCCGTTGACAGATTGGTAATTCATTGAGCGTTATTCTGTTATCCCCGTTGCACACGAAGCGTCATTAGGGACTTTTAGATTTACACGACGAGAGCGTGGACTGCCGCGTGTGACATTGTGTTAAGGCACTGGGCCGTGCCCAGGAGTGCATTAATAGTACGTCACATTACCTTAAAAGGATGTGACACGTGGCGGTCCACGTTCTCGTCGTGTAAATCTAAAAGTCCCTAATTCTTGACGTTGGATTGCGACATCAAGACATAGTGAAGCAGTCATTGCGTTGAATAATTTGTCTGTGTAAACTAAGCTTCAGGTCATGACGCAATCGAAATGAAGCCTCGCGTGGAGCGGGCAAATGAATATTCATTTATTCAGGATTGATTATGTTTACTAACATTCAAATTTTGTCTACTTTTTAAACAAATGTTAATAATAATATGCCGTACTTATAAAGCGCATATCACAATATGTCTTTATGCGCTGTAAGAAAGAGTAAAAAGGAAAGGTGGATAGATCAACATAAGAAGAGAGAAATATGCTCAACATACTTCCTCTCGTTAACATTGGAAAGTATTTTTGAAAAGAAATGTTTTAAGACGCGCCTTACGGTTGTCAACAGTATCACATTTTTTTTTAGATTTCCCGGTAATTTATTCCAAAGTTCGGCCGATGCAACTTAAAAAGGGCGAGACCCGTAGAATTTAGTATTTATTTGTGGAATGGTGAGGAGAGACTTTTGCGTTTTAATAATGTTGTTCTTGACATCTTAAAAACTTGCCCGAGGCTGGCAACATGTTATGTATTCAAACGAAAATCAAAGTATTGTTGTTCATTCATCGATATAACAGTTTAATGGAATACCTCGTCACTAGGTCCCCAGGAAGGAAACATCCATGAATTTGAATATGTTATGAAACCGGTCTATTAGCTAGGTAGCGATGAACCTGTTTTGTTTGGGGTCGGGGTTGGCAAGATCTTTTTCACTAGACTGCGTGCTGTTATATTAATATAGTAAAGAGCTAGGGACTGAGGATTAAAAATGTGTGAAAAGAGGGTTGAACTATTCCCGAAAACCTGTAAGAAGCAAAAGAAATGGATAAATAATAAATTTAAAAAAATGAATACATGAATAAATATAAAACAAATCAAATCAAATACAAAAGGAAAGTGGGAATTACATTCATAGGTTATTAACAGTGCTTATTTACCCTCCCCCCTCAAAAATAAATGAATGAAATACATTATTCAGAAAAACAAACATTTTGTAGGTGTATCTTACATCTATCTTTAATTTCTCAATCTGCGGGGTATCAAATTTGAAAGGGGCAGAAGACGATAATTTTTTTTCTATTTATCCTCTTTCGAGGTACTTTATTTGTTCATATCATAAAAAACAGCTATTTACAACAGTGTTTAAATACAAAATTCATGCAATTTTAACATATTATACATAGTACAGAACATGAAACTAATGTGACATAATCACTAACTAAAATAATGAAAATATTTGTGTAACTTTTGTAACTTCGTTTGTATCGAATTTTTTTTTGATTACATTTCATATTGAGATAGGTGCGAATTTCCACCTTTAATTCTTTTATCAAATATACAGCATGTTTCCTGTGCTTTTCACTTCCAAAACATTCTCTAATATAGTTTCTATAGATAATAAACTGAGCGAAGTTTAAAATAAGATTGACTAGATTCATTTCTCTTCTCTCTATTTCATAACCTACTAAAAGAATTTCTTCGTTCAAAAGGATTTTAAAATTAAACAAAGTTTTAATTAATTTGGATACAATCTTCCAAAAAAGCGAAACCTTCTTGCAAGCCAGGAGAAGAAGACGATAATGCCATGGGGCAGAAATTGGGTTTTAAACTTAGGTTGTCCACACGCTCTCGGTTTGTCACTGAAGAATTACGAGAGTCTCTTGACCATGTATTCAAAACTTGTGACAAGAACAAAACAATAAACCCATGAATCCATATCGTCGGTTTTAAGAATCTTACACTGGTTACCGATCAGATCCCCGGGGGGTGTGCCGCTCAAGCCTCGTAAACTCTACCCATTATTAGGGGTCATTTTAGGGCAATTTTCTCGAAGAAATACCCATTTTCCACAATTTGGGGTGTTCTTCCAAGCAAAAACACCCGAAAATTTTACAATCTTTTTGAAATTTTGATAAAACGTACCCATTTTTAAGGGTATTTTTGTTAAAAGTGGGACCCATGGTTAAGGATTTTTTGTGTGCGAAAAATTCACCCATTAGAGCGGCACACCCCCGTATGTCCTAATAGCCGCAGGCCCGTAGCCACGTCGATCAATTACATGTATGTGCCCCCCCCCCAAACATCAATCTCTGGCTACGGCCCTGCTAATAGCCCCCCCCCGGATCAGATCACGTATTAAGTTTAACATCTTGCTGTGAGCTTTTCAATGTTTCTATGACATGGCTCCATCTGACTACTCAGAGTTACAGAATATGAACCGGTAAGAAATCTAAGGACACTGCAGAAAAATATATTTGTTGTACCTGTGTTTAGGTGATCAAAACAAAGTGTTATGTTGAACGAGTTTTGGGGCTTAGTTCCCCTGAGTTATGGAATAGTATCCCTCATAATGTCTGCAAGCTTAGATAGTTCAAGAATTCAATATTGCTCTTAAAACATATCTATTCAATTGATATTTGTATTCATTAGCCAAAGACCGTTTCCTGCAGCTCTCTCTATTTGTATATTGTTTCTTACTTTTTCCTAAGCGCGTTGAGACGTTTTCCAAAAAATCACGAGCGCAGTCACTTAGGAAATTCAACTTATGGCAATATCGATAGTCTTGTTAATCACCTTTAGAAATGGGTGAACATTACTATGATGTAAATCGTAACGATTTCTATAGGATATACGACATATACATATTACCCTTGAGTTGATTTCTCGAAAGTAGATGCGATCGTGTATAATGCTATAGGGTAGGTGTAGGAATTTGGAGACCCTTAAACACATTTGCATAATTTACATAAACATGAACAATGTTACACATACAGAAAGTTTTGTATTCTCTTCAGTAACTTCTTCTCTTTATTTGGTAACAAAATTGTGGTCATGATGTAACTGATTAAGAAGATAACAATGATTAGTGACGTCATCACAAAAGGTCTCTCATTACCTACATGTGCAGGTAATAAGGGACAGTTACAAATCAGGACATTTTAAGTACAATTTGAATGAAAATGGGATTGTTATAGTTATGCAGCCAATGAACTTACTGTAATTTTTTTTCAACGATTTTAAAACAATATGGCCTACTTGGGATACTCCAAAACCTGTTTTGTATACAAAGTTTAACAAAGGTTTATAGTCTATATAAACCAGCTTGCTAATCTCACATTTGTTATTCATATTGTCCAGAAACCTTGTTAGTCTCATTCTATAATACATTCCAAGTTGGCCACCCAATATTCTTCATATATTAAATTGAAATCCAACTACATTGCACCACATACATCTGTGAATCTTGATATACACCCCCTCTTTCTTTTTTAATCTCCCTCTCTCTCTCTCTTTCCCCTTTTACCAATTTGTGTTCCATCATATTCGTATCATTATGTATCCATTGAGGGAAGTCATGCTATCAAGCTTTGCTTACTTTGTCAACCCTCCTGTTTGATGTTTTCGATTAGTTCCTTTATTCGACATTATATTCTTTTGAAATGTGTACAATTTGCAATGTTTTGTTTGTTATATATTTGTAATAGGGCAAAAGAAAAAGAAAATCAAACAGAAATAAATAATTCAAATGTAGCCCAAAATATTTCTGTACATGGACAATTAACCAACCAGCATCGGGTCATTGACTGTCCTCGTCATACTCGACATTCACAACCAAACGATCCCCATCTTAGACCTGGTGTCCCCCATTGCCTGCACAAATTTCTGATCAGACACCATTCATAATGTGCATTGCAACACCTATTCACAACACACAATGGCCATAAGTTTTCCGAGATGGTTGGCATACTTCATAAACTTCCTCTTAATACTACTTGTTAAGAGCCACCATTAAATATCTGCATACAACACAACAGTCAGTGAAAATTGTGTTTTTATATCAGAGCAAAATGTTACGATCAATTTGCTAACCATGGTCAATTTTGCCAATTTTCTCAGAGAAAGAACGCATTTTAGTCTTCGAAATGAATTGAATATGCAGTAGTGTTATTAAAGGCCACAGATGGCTCTATAGCAATATTGAAGCCAACACGGACAAACAGTGATGTGTTCAAGTTTAGTGGTCTCCAATTCCCTACACCTACCCTATATATGAATTGTTCCGTTACTATATTATGGTGTTTGTGTGTTCTCACCTAATACAGACGTCGATATGCAACCTATCTAATCCTTATGTGGGATTAACATGGTACTGTCAGAAACCTAATTCAAGCCTTCTCTCTTGCGCTGATTGGACAGCGTTTAAGACACTTGAATGGCAGTTCAACAAAAGGATTGAAGACGAAGGTTACAGCAGGAGATCGTCTGTAGTTCATCGGTAAGTGCTATGTTAGGAGCCTCGGTGATACAAGTGGCGCGTTGAATTGCAAGAAATAAACAAAATAGTTTATAACATAACTTTTCGGGTAGTTTCAGAGATAATAATAATAATAGTAGGTATAGCACACATAAAATAAGTACAACAAACACATGTTATGATTGCAAATGATCAAGCTTTATGAAAGCTTCAAAAAACAAAAAACAGAATTGAAATCGGTCAATGCGTTGTGATTTTATACCATTTTTTTGATATCGCAAAATTACCGAAAAACCTGCCAGAAATGGTCAAATTGGCAAAAATGGCAAAATTCGACAAAGTTGACAACTTAATTCATCACTTTCTTGGACACAAATAATAATTTAAATTATCAGACACTAAAATATCATCTTTGTGGTAAAAAATACAAAAAAGAAAATTATATCTATTACCGTTTTGAAAACAGAAGCAAACAAACTAAGTCATTTTTGCCATTTTTGCGAATCAGCAGATATGAAAAAGTTGTGAAAATAACTAAGTCCGTCTAATGAATATGCGCATATGTACTCAAATCAAAACCGAACATGATACATCAATGAAAACTATGTATATCAGACAGGTATGGAAATATTTTTTTTTTTTTGAAAAAAAAATTATGAATATTCATCAAATATGCAAATTAGGTCATTTCAGCTAATTATATATATATATAGGAAAGTCAAACTGTTCATTTTGTTGGCATTTTTTTAAATCATATATTTATAGATCATATTTACACCAAATATTAACATTAAATTCCAAATATATGGAAATTACCTTGGATCACCGTTACAGCTATTTCCTCATATGTTTCACAAATTATTCAGAAAAACCGAACGAATGATAAGAATCTGCAGACTTTCAGCTACATCACAGTATATATATATTTTTTTAAATGTCAGATTTGAGGATTTATGACGATTTTCCGTGAAACCATTCAATTCAACAGGCCATAACATTCCACAGCACAGGGACTGAATTTCAGAGAAAAAGAAAGTTTGGTGACCCTAGTACAGTTGTGACTACCTTGAGTGTAAATAACAAATTGATTCAATGAGTGAAACACATGAGGATATTGCATTTTTGTAGGGGAGTTTTATACATTGAAGTGCATTTTCACCTCGCAGAATAACAGTGAATGGGCGATCAGCGGGCCATGTCACACATGGCTGAAAAGACAATATTCTAATTAGTAATTTAACATACTTTCCACATGCCTATAACAATGAAACTACACATAATTGTAGTTAAAGGTATGCTTGAAAGATATGTGAAATAAAAAATTAAAATATTATTCAGTTTTTTTAAAATAAATTTACGAAAATTGCTATTTCTACCAACTGACTGCTGTTGTGTGTGTGTGCGTGTGTGTGTGTGTGTGTGTGTGCATGGGGCAGACTGTGTGCACAGGCAGTGTGATCACCCTAATAATAGTGGCTACTTGTATAGCGCACAGGTCCACCTTTCGGTGTTTATGACGCTTAGAGAAAAGTACATGTAACAGACATAAGACAGAAAAAAACAAACCGAAATTCTCCTAGACAAAGGTCGAAAGAGAGAGGGAAGGGCGAAAAGAGCTGATACTAAGACCCCTTTTTTAAATATTTTTGACTTGTCAATGTATTGAAATTCATTTGATTTTGTTTGTTTGTTCAGTTGTTTTCGGAGATGCATTATTAGGGCTTGATACCTGATAATTCAAGAAAATTAAAGTTTTCTAGAACATTTACAATGAATTTGGTGCAATGGATAGCGAATTGAGACATACGAGAGAACCAATATTAAAGGGGCTGTAGCATGACGAGACTATAATATGCGTCTTTCCCGAGGCCCACTAGGGGGAAAATCGGGTATAATACGATTACGGACGACGCGATCGCAGTGGGCCTGCGTATTCACGTGCGTGCAACATACGCGAAACCGAAGCGTGAGGAGAACTTCGGTCTGTTTCGCGAACGCTAGCGCGCTGACCCAGTTAATCAAGCCCATTCGTTTACGTGCAGTTGTCCTAAACAAGACGTTGATGGCGTCAACCCGTATTTCCCATGCTACAGCCCCTTTAATTCGCATCTTGGTATGAGCATGTTCACTCGCTCACATAGTAATATAATAGGAACTTTTAGATTGAGCTGACGAGAACGGCGTGAACGTCCACTATATGCGTGTCTATGGCAAGCCGTTTTAACATTTATTCCTATTTCTTGATATCAAGAATCCAATTCTTGATATCAAGTTCAAGTTCAAGTTTTATTTCCACATCTGATTTAAAAAAAACTAGTACAATTTATATGCATATATATATACATAAACAAACGTTAAAATGAAACATCTTCAATTTAAATCATAATGTGGTGGGAAAAAACAAAGGCCAATGGCCTATCAAGGTTATTCCCAAATAATACAATTTACATAAAAAGTTTCTTAAATTTACTAAAAACGAGATAAAAATACAGAGATCAAAATAACACAAAGCATCAATAAACAAAACTAAACCGGACAAATCCATTACAAAAAAAAATATCAGAAAAGGCATTTATGTAAAAAATAATCGTAATTATACATATTCATTTACAAGATATTTCTTAAGTTTTCTTTTGAAAATTGATACTGTTGGGCATATTTGGAGTTCTTGAGGTAGTTGTTCCATAATTTTGGTCCAGCATAAATATTTATTGTTCTTGAGAAATAATAAATAAACATTGGCAGGTGGAAAAGAATTTGATTGACGAGTTTCATAATTAGTCACATTTCTATTACAAATAAAACAATCATCTAGAAACTTTGGAAGTATATTTTTAGAGTAAGAAAACATAAATATATCAATCTGTTGCTTATGTATATCATAAATTGTTAATATACCATGTTTTTTAAACATAGGAGCAGTGTGGGAGAAAGGATGTAAGTTAAAAATAATTTGTATTGCCCGTTTCTGAAGAATTAAAATTAGAACAAAATGAGTTTTAGCACAATCTCCCCACGCTATATTACAGTAGATAAGATAGGGTAGAATCGTGGTATTATACAGATTAAGAAGAATATTAAAAGGTACAATAATGATACATAATGTACATGCGTACATACATAATGTACATGTTCTTTCCATGTCAGTTTGTTATCAATTCTTACTCCTAAAAAAATTGTAGAATTTACTAGCGATATTTTGTGTTGGTTGATACTTATTTAAGTACAGGATGTATGAATATTTTTGTTTTGGGGCTGAAATAACATACAGCATGTTTTTTGTGCATTCAATTTTAATTTATTTGCTTTAAACCATGTATCAATCTTTTTAAGTTCCGTATTAACAGTAAAACACAATGTATCAATATTTTTACCAGACAAAAATAAACTTGTATCATCTGCAAAAATTATCGACTGTAAGATATCACTTACGAATTGAATATCATTAATATACATTAAAAACAATAACGGATCCAATACTGATCCCTGAGGGACACCAAATGGGTTATGTTCAATCTCAGAAGATAAATTATTTATACTTACATATTGTACTCTATTATTTAAATAACTGGAAACCACTTAAGTACAGAACCCCGAATACCATAAAATTGTAATTTTTGTAATAATATTTGATGACTTATACAATCAAATGCTTTGGTAAGATCTAAAAATATTCCAATAACAATTTTTTTTTATCTTCAAATGATTTAGCAATAATATTCGTAAAATCCAAAAGAGCCATATATGTACTGTAATTTTGTCTAGACCCATACTGTTTATGGTATAATTATAAATCTTTTACATAAGAAGGAAAATAGACGACTATAAACTAGCTTTTCAAAGATTTTTGAGAAGGTAGATAAAACTGATATCGGTCTATAATTATTTTAAATATTTTTATCTCCTTTTTTGTACACAGAAATTACCTTAGCCTTTTTGAGAGCAGTAGGAAAGACACCAACTTGTAAAGACAGATATTGAATAAATTACAAAGTGGTATAACAAATGTAGCATTAGATTTCTTTAGAACGGTAATATTAACATCATCATATCCTGGGGTTTTACATGATTCAAGTTTTTTTAACAATTTGAAATATTTCAGAAATCTCAACTGGTTTCATAAATATAGACTTCGAAAAGTCCCTTTTAGGTAAAAAAAATGTAAGAAATCAACGGCATCAGGTATACTATTTACAGTGTCTCTACCAATAGTGCTAAAAAAGTTTTAAATGCTTGGACAATGGCCTGTTTTTCATGTATCTGTATACCATTTTGTTCAATAAAATCACATTGCATTTTTTCCCGAGCTTTCATTACAATATAATTTATGGTTTTACCAGTGGCCTTAATATTACTTTTGTCACGTTTAAATCTAGAAAAATTATATTCTCGTTTATGTTTTCGTATCTCACTGTTTACTACATTTCTAAAACACGAGTATACATTTTTCCGATAACGAGATGGATTTTTTAAAAATATATTTCCGAAATAAAATATTTTTCTTTTTGCACATTTTTTAAAGTTCAGCATCAAACCAAGGATTTTCTTATTTTTATTTTTTGAAATGGAAAGCATTATTGTACGTTTCTAGAAAATATTTCATAAAAACATCAAAAACACTGTTAACATAATCAAATTTTAAAATCTCACCCCAATTTGTCATAAGTAGTCTTTCACAGAACATAGAAATATTTGGGTCATTTATTGCACGCTTGTATATTGCACCAGGATCATCATCATGAAAGAGAAATTGCAATTGACAAAAAATAGAGAAATGATCACTCACATCAGTGAGGAGTATCCCAACATTGATATTATTTTCAGGTCTGTTTGTAAATATATTGTCTATGAATGTGACAGATTGTGTAGTTATTCTTGTAGGTTAAAGAATCAAGGGAGCAAAAGCATAAGACTTTAAAATATCAATAAAACTATTTACATTGTTGCACGAAGAAACCTTTAAAGTGCGGGTTCATAGAAAATCACAAATATGGCAAAAAGCGTATTACTAGAAACTGATATGCTAACAGATGGCCATCATGCACAGTGGCGTACGCAGGATTTTTTCAAGGGGGGGGGGGTTTAAAATCGGGCCCAAAATTTTGCAACGACTCATCCAGCCGCTGAATAAGCAGGGGGGGGGGGGTAAGCGTTCACTTTTTTTTTTAAGAGTCCCCAAAAAATCGCAACGACTCAGCCAGCCGCTGAATAAGCGGGGGGGGGGGGGGGGGTAAGAGGACACTTTTTTCTTTTTTTGGGGTCTCGAAATTTGAAAATTTGTCATTTTGTCCTGTTGGGGGGGGGGCGGTAAGGTCACCTTTTTTAGGTCAGCCATTCATGCAAGTAAAAATACAAATAAAACAACCTCCATAGCATCTGGGATATGCGAGAGATTCGCCGGAAAATAAAGATGTTTTAATGCCGTCACAATATGAACCAACCCTGCCCAAGCAGACGACATCCCATAAAGAATGAACATAATTGCAATGCTTTTATTTCTCAAATTATAATAAGTTTAGTGTATATAAATGTGATGGAATGTTACACCATTCAAAAAGGGATATGACCCCCATTCTGATAACTAAATACACAGGATACAACAGAAAATCATTTCTTGATATCAAGAAATAGGAATAAATGTTAAAACGGCTTGTCATGGACACGCATGATCAGTGTTGCCGCCCAATAGACAAACTTTATTTTGCCTTAAAGCTTCCATTGGTCTGAAACTTTAATTGTGTAATGTATGATGGCACGTGTCCTTTAACCCTCTGCGATTAAACGCTGGGTTCTCGTACGTGCAATCACAGTTTGGGCATTTGTTTTCTTCATAAGGGGAAGCCCACCCTCATATCGAGTTGGGCAGAAAAATGAGAGAAACAAATTAGTGAAAGTTGGAGCAAGCAATATACGATTAAAATAGGAAAGTTATGAAGTTTCGAGATGGTAATGGTAATCCTCTCCAATTTGCTCTGCATGTACAGAGAATTCAATAACCTTTCATTTTCTCATTGATTGGTGACGGAATAGATTTGTGTCATACAGGGGTTGCATAAAACATATTTGCAGTAATTATATTTTGGGTGTATTTAAGATTTAAAAATTTCCTTAAGGGAAAATATAGATTGTTGAAGACTTTTAGTACAGGGATTTAAAATGGGAGGGGACCTCGCAAGAAAGGTCACATAGTTTCCAATTTGTGTTTGATTGATGCGCATTAAAAAATTCACAACTTTATTACTTTTAAGCGGATTTTGCTCAAGCTTTCACTGCCTCGTTCCTCTCATTGTTGTGTGCGTTTATCAATACTAACCTAATATCAGGGAATACTTTCAGTTTATGTTAAATTCTAGTTCCTTTATACAGTATTGATCACGATATATCATGCCGTGTGGGAGTTTATGGGCATGGTTTCAAGACGGCCTATAGGGGAACACTTTAAAGACAAGAAATACTTATGTCAAGTTTACTTTCGTTTTGGCAAGAAAAGATCACACTTCTTCGTATTTTGTCTTCTTGCCCTTGACCATGTGAACGAAAGTGTATCGAGACCCAAGATTTTGACTTGTCGACAGCAGATACAGTCAGTGGAAGACACTTTATCGAGATGCAGGATGGTGTCTCCTTTTTTTCTTTTTATCCTGGGAAAGCTGACAATTAAGAGCCGTGTCCCCACCCCTCCCTTTAAAATTAACTCTCCATTTATTTGTCCTTTTCCTCCATGTTTCCTCTATAGCCGTGCAGCTCCAATCGTGGGCCATCCCAATCACGTGACAGTAAACGGCGAATCTGGTGACTTTATAAATGAACAAGTGGATCGTCTACCAGTGTGTGGCCAACAGCATGACCGCCTTCAAGTTATACCGTGGGTGGCGGGCTTCTACCGGAATAAACTTTGGTTTCCTCCCACTTGCAAAGCGAACCACTTCACCAAAGACGAGGTACAGAAGTGTTTGGCTAACAAGAAGATCTACTTTTATGGCGATTCGACCATCAGACAAGTGTATTCTAAATTGGCCAAGACATTAATTGGGGCCAAATACCGCGAAGCGCACTGGATTGCTCCTGTTGGCATATTCGTATCTGAATATGACATTCATTTGAATTACAGCTTCCATAACATTCCTATACGCAACTTTCAATGGTATAAATTAGCTACCCTTCGATTCATTACAAATGAACTGGACCGCATCGGGTCTAATGAGACCGTTGTCGTTGTCATATGTCTCTGGTCGCATTTTCAACCTCTTTACAGGTCGTTTTACAAGCAGCGGATCAAGTCCATTACTGATGCCGCCCGGAGGCTACTCAACAGAAACCCCACGGCAGTTGTCATGTTTAAGGGTGGAAATACCCAAAATCCTTACGGGCCGAGGGCCCAGTACTTAAATGAGCACTACGCGCGAGACAATGAAGAAGCCCTGAGACGCATCCTCAAGTCTTATCCAAAGATACATTTTCTGGATGCTTGGGATATGAGTAAAGGACAACTTGCCCTTGCTGATACTCATCCTCCGGAACCTCATGCCTCAAACTTGATCGATCAAATTCTGACAATAGCTTGCCCTAGATCTGTTTGAACCGCGCTCATCGCGGTCCGCATCCGGACTGCCCTTGTGGCTCTGATTTTTTGTTGTTCTGGCCTAAATAGGGTCTAGGGCCGAATCCACCCGGTCCCCTATCTTTGATACCAATTTGTTATAATTTATACCAAACGGTAGCGTGGGCACTATACAGTGCGTCCCAAAAAAAACGAAACCGAGAAGTATCGATGTTCTATCATAACTTAATCAAAACTATAATTAATGAATGATACATATTTGGAAAGCTTAGAGTCTCCTCTTTCAGTTGGTGCATATTTCACGCATGAGTGATTGAAGGAAGCAATTTGAAGGAAGGAAACCAACAAGACATTTGGCGGGCCGTATCTGAATTTCGAAGAAAAATTCACATTTCCAGAAAGTTGAGTTTCTGCCCTTTCATATGACACCTCAATCAGGAAAAATGAGCGAGGAATGACAAAGTTCTGTTTGTTTAAAGTAGTGCTTGCATTTCCATAAACGAATTCGTTTTCACTGGCTGGCTGCCGTATCAATAAACGAAATTAACAAAAAACTTAACTCCGTTTCGTTGACAATCAGCCGTAGATGAGAGTTAAATCTGCTTTTTGCTACGGCAGGCACCCAGTGAAAACGAATTCGTTTGTTAAAATTATGAAAATGTAAGGGCTACTTTAAACAAACAGAACTTTGTTATTCCTGTCTCATTTTTCTTGATTGAGGTATCATATGAAAGAGCAGAAAATGAACTTTCTGGAAATATGAATTTTTCTTTGAAATTCAGATACCGTCCGCCAAATTACTTTTCGGTTTCGTTTGCTTTTAATTTGCTTTTAATCACTCATGCGTAAAATATGCATCACATGAGTAGCATCAACTGAAAGAAGAGACTCTAAGCTTTCCAAATATGTATCATTCATTAATTATGGTTGTGATTAAGTTATGATAAAACATCGATACTTCTCGGTTTCGTTTTTTCTGGGACGCACTATATAACTTTAACTTATTCTGTTTGGAAAACTCTTTCAAAATTCCACGTAAAAGAAAATTCCAACGGAGGGGCACCCCCCCCCCCCCCCCGGCTGAGAGATCTACCAAAATAACCAGGCCTTTTTAGGATTAAACAGTCACAATTCCCCCTTTTATCAGATAGAGACACGTATGCAAAATCACAAACTTATATGTTTGGAAATAATTGATGAAGTAAACTCAATTTGCACATTTTTCCGGACCTTTTAGTGTTCATGGAAAATCACATCTGGACCGTCAAGGAAAAAGTTTGAGAATCCCTGGTCTATATAATCATGTATATATGTATATATGTATATATGTATATATGTATATATATTTTTTTCAAGTCGATATATTTAAATGTTAAAAAATTATGTTTGTCATTATTTTGAGGGACCCACATTTTACAAACTCTGCTTTTCAGTGGATCCCTCTATTTCCACACGTTTATCTTTAAAAAAGAAAATTTACAAACCCATTATACTGGATATTTATGTATACTTTCTATTTCACAACTTTAAACCATGTAAAATGTATTATATTATTAAATGTTGAATTGTATATCTGATTTCTTGTCAAAATTACTGTTCTGTTGGAAATGAAAAATAAAAACTGAAACTGAAACTATAAAGTGGTAAAGTGTGACGTCATCAAAAAACTATTTTGAGAATTTTTCCGAAAGAGCATCAAAACTAATGTACAAATGTCGAAAATCAATTGAATATGTTGAGTATTGGCTGAGATATGACCATCTGAATAAATAGATTTCTTATTGGAACTCTGTGTTATTTTGCTCCGGTTCACAACATTACGAGCCAGAGGGGAAAAAAAAATTAAAAGAGAGAACAGGAACATGCCCCTTGCACTTCGCACCCTCCCCCCCTTAGTTTTCCCGTCAACAAGGTGTAGATCTGGGGGGGGGGGGGGGTGTACAATTCAAACGTGGTTTATTTACAAATGTTGTTGAAATGACATAATTTTCCGAGATTTTTCCTTACTTTTTAGTAAATTATATTTTTTTATGCGTTTGTTGGAAAATGATCTTCTTTCTTCAGTCAGGTGGCGCTAGCTGCGCTGCTGTGGCCATCACAAGTTTACGCCATCCTTCTCTGTCAGCTGTTGCTCTTGTTGCCTCTGACAGCTTTTCCCTGTCCATATGTGGATATCTTTGAACCAGGAAATAGCAGGTCTGCCTCTTCTTCTCCTGGCTTCCACTGTTCCTGTTATAAGGGACTTTCAAAGACCGTCTCTCCTTACTACATGGCCAAAAAACTGCAGTTTCCTTCTGGCAATACTCTTTCTGAGCAACATCTCTGTATCCAGCTTGTCCAGTACCCATCGGTTTGTTCTTCTGTCTGTCCAGGGAACCCTCAGTATTCGCCGATACACCCACATTTCAAACGCATCTACTCTCTTTTCATCTCTTTTGGTCATGGCCCATGTCTCGCTTCCGTATGTAGCAATGGGAAATAGAGATGTCAGTGCTATCTTTAACTTTAAACTGTTATTTATTCCCCGGCTTCTCCAGATCTTTACCATTTTCTGAGTTGCATTCCTTGCTATAACTAATCTCCTTTTGATTTCTTTCTCACTTGATCCTTTAGCGCTAACAAGTGATCCCAGGTATATGAAATCCTGGATTTCAGCAATTTTTTCTCCATCCAAAATAAAATCATTAAAATCTCTTCGATTCCTGTCTATTACTAGTATCTTTGTCTTTTGTGTGTTTAAGAGGAGATTCTTTGGGGGTGGGGGGGGGGGGACGGTTTAGTCGCCGGTTGCTCGACCATGGAACAGGTATTACTGGTTTACATGTTACCAGTAGCAGACTAATGAAACCTGACCTTCATGGAAAATGATAAATTCCTAAATTTACAGTCAGGCAAGAATATGCTTATTGAGATGCCCATATGTCAGGGCCCGCGGAACGGCGGTGATTTTTTGATTTTTTGATTTTATTTTATTTCTGCATTAACAGAAATTAACTGAATAACAAAGAACATATAAATGTAAGGTATAATACAACATAAATAAACAATAATTTGTTCATGTCAAAATGTTTTTTTTTACATAATATATGTACATATAATAACGAAACTATTTCCATAACATATAATCATAAATTTAAAGTATTAACCGAACTATTATGTTGGAAAAGTGCAGGAGACCGCAATCATAAGCAAAGCTTGACAAAGATGGCGGCCTCAAGTGATCGGGAGCCTATATATTAAAGAGAAATAGAAAGAAAGAGAGCAAGAAAGAAAAAATAGTGAACTGCCAGTGTCACGAAATAATAAGGTATCAACAAATGCTCATCTGACCGTAATTAAACGCCTAAAACCCCTGAGCTTCTTGGGGCTCCGCCCGCTGGACCTTACGTCAATATTATTAGTGTCCTGCCAGTGTCACAAATAATATAATAATATTTTCATCTGACCGTAATCAAATGCCTATAAGACCCCTGAGCTTCCGTCGGGCCCATGAATACTTATCTGACCGTTATAAATGACTCAAATCCCTGAGTTTCATGGGGCTCTCCGCCCCTTGACCCCACGCCAATTAGTAACCTGCCAGTGTCGTGAATAAGGTATCAAAATATGCTCATCTGACCGTAATTAAATGCCCATACCCCCTGAGCTTCTGGGGCCTCCGCCCCTTGATCCCCGCCAGGGCTTTGGCCCTAGACCCCACGCTAATTTATGCTACGCTCTACCTGCATGATTGTAAATACTTTAGCCTCCCCCCCCCCCACCCACTTTGAAAAACGTTCAGCGGGGCCTGCATGTAAGAGAATGGGGTGCTGTGGATTTTTCGTCTGCCTCCCAAAAGTTTTTGCTCATTACGTCACTGCCGGTCACCATTACGTACCAATAGGCTCGCATAATTTCAAATTTTGCCCCCCCCCCCCAAGAAATCCTGGATCCGCGTCTGGCTTGCGCTGTTTGAAAGTCTAAAATGAGAAGAGAGAGAAAGAGAGAGATAGAGAAAAAATCAAATGTTAAATAATGGCAGCTTTAATAAACTATACATACATGGGGGGAGTATGTATCTGTATATGGGTCCAGTGGCGAATCCAGGGGGAGGGGGGCCCCCCCACCCCCCCCCCCCCCCCTCTGGAGAAATAAACAAATGTTCAAATTTTCGAGGGCCACTGAAGAATTTCAAAAACAACAATAGCATATACAGTGTAATATTGAAAGAAAATTTGGAAATTTGGAACAGTAAGAACACTACACCAATGCATAATTCAAATAAATGTTAGACTAAAGGGTAACTCTCAAGCGCGTAGCCAGGATTTCATTTTAGGGGGGGGGGGGCGGTAGTAAGCACGCAAAGCGTGCGAATCACTTAAAGAGCGCGCGAAGCGCGCTCCCTAGGGGGGTGGGTGCAGGGAGGGGGTAGTTCGCGCGGAAGCTATGAAAGAAGACGATTCGTTGTACCTTTCTCGACTCATAATCCTTGTCTGAATTCAGTCCCCCCCCCCCTCCTGCGCATAGCGCGAAAGCTTTGACGTATTATTAGAGAAAGAAGACGATTCGTTGTACCTTTCTCGACTCATAATCCTTGTCTGAATTCAGTCCCCCCCCCCCCCCCCCTCCTGCGCATAGCGCGAAAGCTTTGACGTATTATTAGAGAAAGAAGACGATTCGATGTACCGTTCTCGACTCTTAATCCTTATCTGAATTCAGTTTCCTCCCCTCCCGCGCACAGCGCGGAAACTTTAAAGTTTCTTTAAATTATTAGAGAAAGAAGACGACTCGAAGTACCGTTCTCGACTCTTAATCCTTGTCTGAATTCAGTCCGCCCCTCCTGCGCATAGCGCGGAAGCTTTGACATATTATTAGACAAAGAAGACGATTCGTTGTACCTTTCCCGACCCTTAATCCTTATCTGTATTCAGTCCCCCTCTTTCGAAGCGCGGAAGCTTTGACGTTTCATTAAATTATTAGAGAAAGAAGACGATTCTTTGTTCCGTTCTCGGCTCTAACTCAATTTCGCCCGTTCCGCGT